TATGGGCTATAGGCGGCGGGCAGGCGGCGCACTAGCTGCTTTCCAACTCCCGTACGAGCCTCGCCATTGGAACGTTGCAAAAACGTTGCAGCGTTGGGGCGCGAAGAGCGCCGGTAGGTGTTTCCTGATTCTGACAGCCGTTTCCATTACTGGGCAAGGTTCGCGAATGTCAGAATTTCGACAGTCTTTCTGTGATTTTGCGTGACACAGCTCGGTTACGAACAGACTACTCGGTTACAGTTTTTATAACAAGTGAACACTGTTCACGTTCCAAATGTCTGCCCTCTGTGTCCCCCACTAAAATTGCGGACTGTTCGCTGGCAGCTATGGATTCGTGCGCCGGCCTATGCATTCGGCGCACGGATCCATAGCTGCCAGCTCTGCATACTGTCGTAGGACGTTCCCGCGGTCGCGTGCGCCTTGCCGCGGAACTGCGCGCAAGATCGCGCAGCACTTCGGATTAACACCTCCTTTCGGCAACGCTTCTCTAGTATCCCGTCTCATCTGGTTATTATGAGCCTAACAATGGGTGTCAACATTGAAAGCTGTGAAAGCAACAGTCGAATTGACAATAGTGCAGGACGTGTGAAATAGACCACGTACGCGTGCACGAGTGTGACAAGACCTGGTGTGCAACTAATGAATGTAAACTCACAAGAACTTATACTTATAGTTATACTGTAACTATAACTTATAAGCCTAAGGCTACATATTTCCATATGTCAAAAATCAGCAGCTCTAATGACTTACCGATCAACATGTAGGTAATACTGTCAGGAAGGCAACCGTTTAGTCTTGATTATCTCTTATAATAGCCTTCTTTAGGCATCTTCCTAGAAGCACTTTCATGAATGTATTCCGTTTACTAATTCAAATCAAGCTCTTCCAGAGAGCACTGTCCTTGTGTTGAAAACAAATGGTGTACAACATCAGACTGTGTTTGTACATTTTGTACATTGTAACATTTGTTTAGCAATATTGTATAAATTGATTATTCAGATGTGTATTATTAAAGAAAGCTCGACGGTAGAAGACATTTGTGATTAATATCCCAGTATTTTAATCAGTTTTACTATCAATGTTGATAGGACACAATCGTCATGGTCTCTGCCTCTACACGAATGTATTTTACGGACGTTCCTGCAACGTTCTGTGAACGTTGCACACTATCTGACAGAAATAACAATAATAACATTTAAATAACATGGCGTAATTACTTAAGGCTATACGTTAACATATGATATAGTATATTTCATAAATACAGATGTCAATTTACTATAGAAAAATATGTATATAGGCCTATATGCGTATCCAACGTCCTAATAACGTTGTTAAAACGTTACTACATAACGTTGTGGGAAGGTGCGAGTGTAACGTTCGCATGGTACGTTTCTAGAACGTTGCTGCAACGTTATTCCTGACCCGACCAAACTACAACATTCCAGCAACGTTGTGGGAACGTTATGTGTTAACTGGGTTGACTTCTTATAAAAACATAATCTCTTTGTTCGTAACCGAGCTGTGTCACGCGAAATCACACAAAGACTGACGAAATTCTCGCGTTTGCTCAATGCATGTTACAAACTTAAGTACATGGCTAAAGGCGGTGCACTGCATTTTGGGATACAACCCTTACCCAATTAGGGTTAAGGAGCGTTAAGATGGATACGGGAAGTTGAAGACTGCTACCGACCTTCACTCAGCCAACTATCGTTGGCTACACTGAAGTGAGTTACGCTAGCGTGTCCAACTGTGCACCGCGCGGCAGTCTAGGTCAGCGAGCCAACCGTTTTTTAAAAAGAATACTTGAAAATGGTACGTAGATGGACTCGTTGCGCCATCTATGGGACGCGATAACTTCGAAAATAATCTCAGGGCATGAAACAGACAAAACGCTAAATTCGTTTTCTGCAGGAAAAAGACTCGCGCCGAGCAGCAAACCAACAATAACGAGCATTTGTATAAACACTCGACCTACGTGCGTAGTCGAAAGGGTTCTGCAATCGCCACAACTCCTCAATTGAGCGATTATGGGGCTTTTATGCTTACCCAAAGGGCACTGTCCAAACAGTGTTGTAAAGAGGGCAGCGAATCCGATAAAAAGTGCCGCTCCGCGGCGCTGTTCGCGCTTCGCGCGGATATCCGGCTGCAGATCGTCTAGACACAGCGTCGCGTATATTGTGCGGCTGCATTGATGGTACAGGGAATTGGATAAGCGTGTTTTAGGTTAGGCAGTTTCTAGAGTCATTGTGAAATAAGGGTGCAGATCGAATGAAGAGATGTAGGAGTGGGGGTCTAGTTGTGGTCGCGAGAGGAAGCACACGCGCATAGTCACGCGCTTATGCGCGTTTCTTTGTCTCTTTGTGTAAGATGGGGACTTGACTGGGTCAGGACTGGACTGGACGAGACGGAACTGGCGTGTACTGGTAGCGACCTGTTAATTTGTAAACAATATATTCTTTTGCGTGAACACAAATTATACTTCTTTTTGATTATTTTATTATAAATTCTTACATACAAACCCTATTGTTACTTCTATGCTGAAGGGTTATTGACCCCATTACCTCTCTTATATAATATAATGATGATGGTGGTGATGATGATGATAACTACACAGTCTTTTTTTATGTGTTTATATGATTAAATACATTTAATATATAGTTATATATATATAGTATTAAAGAATATAATTCGGTGTCCCAAAATTTTTTCTCAGAAACTGTAAGAGTCTTGATGATCTCCTCTTGTTCTGTCAAAATAGAAGATACCAAATATTGTCCATCTTAGAAAATGCTACCTGACCAGATACTGACAATAGATTAAGGTATGGCTTTTATTGAAACACCATAGCATCATAATACTACACAAACTGCATAGACCATTATGATGTTGCTAGGAATGTACACATAGCAAACATAGTTGATTTCGATGGAGCACTATTTAAAGCATACACTTGCAAAATGAAAATACTTTAATGTAGTTTCTGTGGAATTCGGCCATTTAGCAACTTATTCTACAATAAGTTTGCTTGAGATTGTGATGTGGATGTAATAAACTAGTTGGTAAATTATTTATAATATAAAAAAGAGCCGAAGTCATCAGTTTTCAATTTTGTTCAAAAGTACTTAATTTTGAAGCATCAAGTCTAACCATACAGTTTAAGCTACCTAACCGTTCCTGCCCAATTATTTCATTGGTTAGCAAGAAGTGAATTATATCACCTTTCACTTTCTTTTTCAGTTCTTCTATACAATCATGTTTTTCTAGTGCATTGAATGGAATGGTCAGATCACATCCCCTTTGACATGAAACAACTCTGCAAAATCAAATAAAAAATGTGGCTTTCATAACAATGGCAACAAATGGTCTAATGATAAACAGCAAATAACTGTTATTAAGGCACCTGCACTCAATTTTCATTGATATCGTCAGCTATGAGTAAAAGGGGTGGTATAGTGATACCCGCCACCGCTACTGCCAGCACTGCCAACACTCCCGCCACCCGCTACCACCCTCCGCCACCATCACCATCACCACCAGGGCCGCTAACACCACTGCCAGCACACAATCGCCAACAACATCACCACCACCACTACCAGCATACCACAGCCAACACCACTGCCACCTCCACCACCATCTTCACCACCTCCACCACCACCGTCTGTAATATTATAGTAACTGTTTACTATATAAATGAGTATGGCTTTGACATACTCATAATACATTTCCGTTATGAAAGTATTGGAATAATACGTATTATAATAACAGTAAAATAACATTCGAATTTGACTATTCATGTCGACTGACTCTCTGTCTATGTATCGCTACACGTATCGTATTGTGACCCTAGTGTATCGTTACACCTCTAGGGTATACCAACTTTTTTGGCTGAAAAACCATTCCTAGGAAAGAAACTCCAATTATATAGTGGAAGTCAATAGGACGACATGACTCACATTACAAAGTTTTTTTTCTGAAACACATTACTTTTCTAGCGTGGAGTATTACCACATCTGCAACTATTCTTCTTCGACACTAGTAAAACTCCACTTATATTTCCTGCACAAAGTCTAATGCATGAAATATTTTCGATTAATATTGCTCCCATTACCCATAACAGCAGGTTTTCATATGAGCCTCATGAACCTCAACCCGTAGTAGTTCCTGCACATAAAGAACATACAAAGATTCTAAGATGACGATTACATAGCAATTGAATAAAGCTAGGTATAATGATTTAGTTTACAAACAACCTACCAATATTGCATAATTGCTTTCAATTATTGTCACCATTTCTTCAAACCGTTATTTATTAGCAAACTATAGCATGGTTATTACATTAGAATTAATATTACTTACCTTGCATCCTTTCTCAAAATTATCACACTTGACGAGTAGTTTACCTATCATGTTCTGTATTATCGGTACTACAGGTTTTATCTCGCATGCGAATACCGGACTTCGGCAGTGAGGACAGGTATTCTGGTCTCGCAACCAGTCACTTATGCACTTTTTGCAGAATACATGATCACATAGGGTCGCTGTGGCACTAGAAAATATGAACACATCTATTAGGAAGAGAAATTAAGAAGAGAAGTTCAAAATACTCCTAGTGCTATTAATAAACACTAAGTAACTATATTATATAATTAATTACACTGAATTTGTTTTCAATCCTACGGTAGGACCCCGAAATTTAATTATGTATTTTGAATTAGGGCTAGGTTAGGCTTGAGGAGAAAATAAAAAAGTTAGATATCTAGGGTGATGTCATTGATCTCAGGGTTGACTAATAAAGTACAGGGGTCCCAATGTAGGACTGGGCCACAACTTTCAATATAATATCAGGAGTGAATGAAAACAAAGAAGCGTACAAGGCTCAATTATTAGAGATAAAAATTATTTACTAGCTTTATTCTGCCTATGATGTCAACAATAGAAAACTGATATTTCACCAAAAATCAGAAATGCTGATAAGGTTCCCTAGCAAATGATTTCATTGGTTGATGGGAACACATCACTAGCAGGCAAGAATGAACATTGTAAGTTTACAATTTATGTTCCGAGGAAGTTTTAAACATTTGGTGTTGTGATATTAAATCATTAAAGGCGATAAACGGTATTTTGGAAGCTGATAATGCATTCATGGCAATTGAAGTAGTGTTTTAGATCATTTATATATAACCTACCTAATTAATTATACACACCAGTTGGCAACTTCTTACCAACTCAATTTCCTGCAGAAATAACAGGGCTTTAATGGTAGCATAAAACAGTTAGGTTAAAATGTGTTAACTTAATATTGTCACACAATAACTTCACACCTATGCACAAATTTATGTAAAAGACTGTATGCTAGTTCTACCGGTATGACCCCTTCATTTCCACTACAGGGCTATATACTACAACATATATGACTAGAATTGAAAGAAGAGTGTTTACAGCATAGTCGGCAACGCTGTAGTCCGTGGCACAATGAAAAATCACCCTAGTCTGCAGCATAAACTCGTTTTCTTTAGCTGACCAGCTAGAAATTTACATTTTTAAATCAACATAACATGATTAAATTGGCTCCTTTATTGAACGCAATGATCTTAAGATAAAATCACACATCCACATTTAAATTGAAATGATTGTTGCATTGTCACACTGGACTGTCCGTCCGGAGAGTAGCCGACCTGTAGGCCTATTATTTCAGTGAATGGCGGACGGTCTTATACCGCCACAACATCGCTTGGTATTGAGATATGGAATAGGCCCTAGTAGCTATAAGAAGGTAAGCCAACTGCTTATAGTGATCACATATTATGCTCTGCCAACTGCTAATTCTCACGCATACAGAAACAAACTGATAAAAAAACGAAGTACATGTATATCCTACTCTAGAGCATTTCAATTTGCTGAACGGTTCTAGATCTCGACCTTACTTAATTGCCAATGAGAACAGTTTTATGTAAGTGAGTTTCGCCTAAGAAGCCGAAGGAGCAATTAACCTGATTGGCTAAAACCTCTGTCTATAATAAGCAGGCTCGTTCCGGTTCTAGTCCACTATATAGTAGCCTATGTATATGACTAGACTATGTACGATGCATTACGCACGGAGCCCATATACGTACTAATACAAGCAGAACTACAGTGTATTTTATTACATACATACATGTGTATCTTTAAAAACTCGCTTAAGTATGCACCAGAATGCACAATTTCAAGCTGAAAAATACAAAAGCTCCCTGGTGTGGGACACACCCTCCCACCGCTAGGTCGCTCCACTCCCTTGCATGATCTTACTCTCAACTCTAACTCAATGTTGGCAGCCCTGCAATAATGTAACTCAACATATTATATAGAATATCTTAGGGGTCGCAGGGGCGTGAACAGGATTTGTACCACGGGGGGGGGTCTAACCGTAACCCAAACTTGCGAGCACGCGAAGGA